GTAACATATATTTGCAACTTTTACTTTGATTTTCTAGCTTAAAATAAATGCCATTGTTTATATTAAAATAAAAAAAAGGGCTCTATTACTTTATTGTCCTATTTCTCTAGTATGTTTTAAATTTAACTCGGAGTCAACATCTCTATTCTTTAAAGAGTTATAATCATTCAAAGTTTACTATTGAAAAAAAGATCGGCAAAAAATTGTCATATATGAAAATTTATATATGTGATCGACTATGTTTGTAAAATCATATAATGTAAGACACCCCCCATAATAGTAATACTAAAATCAAAATAAAAAAGTTGTGACAATTTCCGTGAGCCTCTCTTTCTAAAAAAAAAAAGAGAATCAAGCTGAAGCACCCCATTTCATTGGCCATGTAAGGTATCTGTCAAAAAATCCACCATATGCTTATTGCTTGTTATCTTTTATTGATAACAATAATATTACTTTTATCGTTAAACCTTTTATTAAAGGAATAAAAGTTTTTGTTTCGTTTTTTTTTATAAAACCGAGTTCTTCATCGATTCCAACCTCCAATTAAAGTACTAGAAATTGGTAATAATAATAAACAATGCAAGTTTTTAACAAATATACCCTGATTTAGTTTTAATTAACCCTTTTTTATTAATAATCATATAAATATACACTTTAATTTCACCATATTTAATCAAGTGATTTTAAATATACATGTAATAGCAGTAGGTTGATCACTTGTGGCTTTTTGACGCAATTGATCGAAATAATAATATACTAAAATCTTTTTCCCACCAAGGCGCAACCAAAATTTTTTTTGCACAAAAAAATATAGTTGTGGGTAGGAAAGTGGAATCGTCCAAATTTCTTTAATCGACTAATTAGTCGACTAAATTTTTTTTTAATAATAATAATTATAATAATATTTTTGTTTTTTTTTTAATTTGCAAATTACAAATTCATTTCCATTTGAATCTTTCACTTTTTCAAAATACTTTCATACAAAACCATGGGTTACGATTTGTTTTTTTAAAGGTCTTCTGGAACCACCGCTTAAATCATTGGAATTTGAAGCCAATGAACTATTGGACCTTGTCTCGGAAGTGTTTATTAATTCACATGTAAAATCATCAACAACAACATCGCCATTGTCGTCATCATCATATTGATGGTATTGATACTCTTCCACACAGAATTTTCCATTTTGAATGATAAAAATCGTAAGTAATTAGTATTAGTATTAGTATTAGTATTAGTATTATAGTCGACTAAATAGTCGATTAAAATAATTCAAAATAGTTAAGATAGTCGAATATTAATTGTTCAAAAAAAGTTTAATCGACTACTTTAGTCGATTCCAACATCTAACTTTAATTATTATATTTTTTGATGTAGTCTTCTCCATTTTCTTGATTTATTAATTCGGAAAAAAAAAAATCAAAAGAATAAATATACGATTTACTAACATTTTAAAATAATAGCCACGCTCTGTTTTCTTTTTATATCACTTGAAACTTCAATATTAAAGCATTACAAAAACCTGTACCTTATAAATGGTGATTCTTGAAATTGGATTCTTGTTACTACTATATTTAATGGTTGCAGGAGAATATCTTTACTTAGAAGCACAAGACTGATTATTATGTATGTTATCGTGTATGATGGATGACTTGTTGGGAGTGTGTCATATTATAATTAAATAAAATTTGTTTTTTGAATGCGATGCAATTATACGTATTTTGGAATGCTACTAGTCCATAAAAAAGTAAGGTTTTAGTTCCATATTTAGATAAATTGTAGTATGTCATCTATAGTTTATCGGCAATGGTGAAAAAACATCAAAAATCATCATATTCTTTGAAAAACACTATTTTCGTAATGTAGCTAGTCCATGAAAAAAATTTTTTTATTGCTATTTTTGAATATAGTATAGCATGATGTCCTCTAGTTCATTGGTATAGAGAGCCTTTTCTAATTTTGTTAATAATAAAAAAGTTTATGGGCTTTAAAGTTATGCAATTTTTGCCTTCTATTTCCTTAGTTGCAAAATTTCCTTTTAAGGATAATGGTCAATGTAACATTAAAAAATTGATTTATATATATATATATACCACAATGACTTTAATTATATTTATGACACCCCAATGGACTTGTGATATAAACGATCAGCTTTTATGTAATTTCAGTAGCCAATTAAATTTTAATGCAAACCAAAAAATTATCCACTGTTTCATATGTTTCATAAAATTTGTACACGTGCATATTTTTAATTAACATTAATGAATTAAGCCAACCAAAACTAAGCCAACAAACATGGCTTGCCAATAAAATAAAACAATTTCACAATAATAAGAATAATATTTTTCATTCATTATTTATTTCCTATTCATGGATTGCATATATGTTTGTATATGTTTGTCTCACGATAACCAAAGCTAACAAATGAGTCTCTTAATTTATATGTTAGGATGTACATTCGATTGCTCTCTTTATTGATCTGTTTTTGTAAAACCCCTTGTTAATTATGAATAAAAAGTCCATAAATTTTTTTTGAAAAAAAAATTTATTTATTTATTTATTTATTACCTGAATTTTTAGACAAATATGAATAGTTCTGAAATCAATGGCATATTATGTAATAGATGTGGAAATACCACTAACAGCAATAATACTAGCGCCAACAATGAATGCATTGAGTGCAAAGACAATAGACTCAATGGAGGAGATTCGTTGACATCCTTATTAACGTCATCGTCGTCGTCATCAATAACATCAAAATATAATCATAATAATAATCATTTTTATTATTATTATAATAATAAAAGATTTAATTTTAATTTTAATAAATATAATAATAATAAATTAATATTATTGTTGTTAAGATTGGCTTTATTAATAACAATTTTTGTTATATTCGGAGTCTCAGTCATAATGGTTTATGAAAAATTTACAACTCCTGTTTTCAACTCTGACCTCTACAATAGCACATTTACATGTCACGATTCACTAACATGCGAACAACGCTATTTTATGAACAATCATCATCAAAATAACTCGATTAATACACCAACACCAACATCAACATCATCAACACCCAATAATGTATTTATTAGCTCGTTATACTCTGATAGTTATTTACCGGGCATTTTATTATTGGGATATACAATTAAAAAGCATCATCCAAATCACAAAATGTATTTAATTTTTTTCCCTGATAAATTGTCAGAGAATACGATTTGCCAAGTGAAGAAAATTGGTTGGATACCAAAAATTGTAGAGAGAATTCCTCCACCATGGGAAGGTGTTCATTTTACTTTTGTAGATCAGTTTACAAAATTACAAATGTGGTCGTTCACCGAATATGATTCTTTGATTTACATTGATGGCGATGCGATTTTAACAAACAAAATTGACCATTTATTCGAATTGGTTAATGGTAAAACTGGGTTCGAATTTGCTGCTGCTCCTGATGTCTGGAATGGAAGAACAACCGTCAACTTTAATGCTGGTGAGTGAAGATTTAATTTCTGCTTTGGATTAATCATTTGGGTTAATCTATTTTTGTGGAAATTAGTTATTTAATTAATTTAATTATTGATTATTGATTATTTTTATGATTTGGTAGGATTAATGTTGATAAAACCAAATGAAGCGGTCTTCAAAGAAATAATGAGAGTACATAAGATACGTGGAACATATGATATAGATTTTGCTGAGCAAGCATTCCTAAATGAATATTTCAGATTCAGGTAATTAATTAATTAAGATTACATACATATTTTATATATATGTATAATATTACCTACCTAATCATCATGTGATATTTACATTCAAATTCTAGAGGTTTGCAATTGCCACAAATATATAATACTAATATATCAATGATGAATGCGTATCCACATTTATGGAAGATGTTATTGAATGACATGAAAGTTGTACATTACACTTCACGAAAACCATTCATCAAACCAAATCCAGGAATATTCAAAGAACCTTATGATCTATGGAATCAATTATATCAAGAAATGGATGCTAATATAAATTTAAAAAGAATAGAAAAAGATTGTCGTGTTGTTAACAATTATTTTTGAACAAGTAACTTTATTTTGTAATGTTTATATTAACAATATAAATAATATGTAATTTTAAATAATATGTAATTTTAAATAAATAAGGTTTTTATTAAATTCCTATTAATAGATTTGAAAAAGTTTATTTTCAATATTACGTATCATTACTATTTTTACAAAATGAAGCATCTAGGCAACATTCTTCATTGGTGTTTCTATTTCAGGCACATTCGAAAGCTATAAAAAAAAAAAAAAAAACAAATCAATTAATTAATCACATACATACATATATGTATGTATCTTGCACACACTGTATAATATTAATATACAAATATGTATGACACGATATACATACATTCATTCCTTCTAATTCAGCAAGCTCGGCATTTGATGTATCTATTGATGTGGGAGTTTCTTGTAGATATGATGGTTCTTCTTCTTCCTCGAACATTAATTCATCTCCCAATGCATCCAATTCTAAATAAATATAATTCAATTGATTGATTAATTTATGAAAAAAAAAACCCCCCAATTCTACAAAATAATATTTTCCAAGATAATCTCCAAACCTGCTTCTAATTCATTTTCATCAATATCTTCAGGAAGCCCATACGTTCTACCAAGTGTTTCTTGTATATCATTAGCTTGCTCAAAAAGATCTTCCATGTCATCTTGAATATTCTTATAATTATTATCAGTATTATGGATATGAACATTATTAGTAAATTGAATTATAATAATATCTTCGATCGATCAATCAATCAACTCCTCGTGAAATTAATCGGTACCTCGATTTTATTAATATCAATCTTTTTGTATTGCTTTTGCATCTCTTTATTGGCGGTTTGCATCGCATCAACGGTGGTCATCACATTACGTAGATTATCTGTGGTGAATGACGCTTGCTCCATATTAAATGATTGTTGTTGAAGTTGATCTCGTTGTGATTCATACAATTTTTTTTGTTTAAGAACTCTTAACGCCTTGCTCTTGACCGTATTCTATCAATCAACCAATCAAATGATTATAAATTATTATGTGGAATATTATAAAATTTGATGCATTTCTAATTCTCCCAAACGTTAAAATTAATTCAAAAAAGAAAAAAAATGTCAATTTTAATGCCTGTCATACTTTTGCAGGCCCATCCTTCATCTTCTTCATTTGATCTTTGTATTTGACAAGTTCTGCATCCAATTTTTTTATCTTTACCTCCACTGCATCAACTCTTGAATCTGTCTATTTTATTATATATGCAACATACAATATACGTTATAATGATAATAAACATATAGTATATTAATTAATGGTAACGATGAGTAAAATTACTACCGATGCTATCGCATCACTTAAGTTTGGCTTGGGTGTTTTCTTTGATGTACCAAAAAAACGATTCATATTTATTATTATTATTATTATTATTTATTGTGTGAATTGATTGACCTTGATGTATGCGAACAATTTAATTTAATTGGTTGAAATAAAATGCAGGACCCGTGAATAGGTCTCGAACACCTCGATTTTGGCCGAATCTTTTAAGATCCCGAAAATCATTCCTCTCCTAAGATTGTTCGTGAATACATCGCGGGTGGACAAGCCATGTAAATCTTTCAAGATATGGTACATATCGTGCATATTGGATGCGGTTTTAGCTTATTCAGGAGTCTCGTAAATTAGGGTCAAATACATCTTGTGACAACTGTTGGACATTGGACAATGTCCATTTCAAAGGAATTAACATCAAGTATTTATAGCAGGGTTGAAAGAATTCCAGAAAGAGCAAAGATATCATAGTCGGTACAACATCCTGAAAAGTGTAGATTAAGGTGATTTAACTTTAATTCCAGTATTTTTTTTTCAAAAGCTTTCGCGAACTCCTTGCAATGCATTAATTGAAATTATCTTACATACTCATACTTTTAGATTAAGAATATACGATCATAAGGTGATCGAACTTTGTAAATCAGATTTGCACAAATTTTTGTTAATTCATCTTGCGACATTTTGAAAAAGGTTATGCGCAAGAACAATCTACAAGAGCAACCATAGGTGAAGAGGAACTGTCCAACGAATTTTATGCTGCTACCTCTTTCAATTTGGATATTCATTTATTTGTCAATTAATAATATTCAACAGTATACATGTCGTCGAAATAGTCATGTGGCGCAATTTCTGGACAATTATACCCAAAAGTCAAAGTCAAAAATAGTTTCCCCATATTAATATTATAAATAATAAATATATAATAAATGTAAAATTATTTCAAAGTGATAATTATCCGTTTGAAAAAATTTTGGCAGCATTTAACGTTAGCATTAACATCAATATCATAATATCAACATTAGCGTTAACGCGTAACACTTAATATTAAGTTTCCTTTTCTTCGAAAAGTTCCTTTTTTAAACAAAATTCTATGAAAAATGATCGAAATCTCCTTTTTAACGTTAAATACGTTGCACTAAATTAAATTCATCATATTCTTTTGTGCACTCGTTGTAATTCTCTGTGACATAATAATGTTTTGTTGCAAGCATACTCCATATCTAATTTTCTAATTGTTATGCGATGATGTTCCAGTTAATTAAATAATAAACTTTATTACTTTAAAAATTTATAAATACATTTCTATAATAAATAATAGATAATAATAGTAGTATTAAAAATAAAAAAGTATAATTGACGGTAAGGATAATTCAATATAAATATTGTTTTCTTTTTTTTTAGGTGGATAAATAAAAAAAAAAAACCTCTTTTATATAATTTAATTTTTATGTTTGTTTTATTTTTTATTTTATTTCAAGCAGCCACATCAAATGCCACGGTATATCTTCCATAATTTTTTTTTATTCCTTTCATTTAAAGAAATTTATATATATTTAATTGATTTATTTCATTTCAAAATCCTGAATTCATTAGTCAGCTTTACCTATGGATTTACATATACCAAATTATAAACCTAATTCAGTATCTAATAAACAAAAAAATAGCAATACTGGTAATTATATATATATAATTACATTAAATATAAATATTTTTGCATCTTTTTTTATGCTTACATATATTAATTTTAATTTATTTGTCTTTATAGATGGCGGTGCACTTATTTTCATTTCACTGATATGTGCAATGATTCGAAATACGGCATATCCTTCAACAAAACTTCATGCAATGGATATGTTGTTAGCATTCGGCCAACATTTAGAAGACGAGTTTAAGTTGGATCGTCTGGTTCCTTATCTAATTTCTCTTTTAGGCGATAAAGTTGCTCTTGTTAGAGCTAATGCTGTCAAAACATTATCAAAATTGGTTTGTATATATTAAACTTATGCGTGACATTTCATATTCTAGTAATGTAATATCAAAAAATTTTATATGTTCATGTATATTAAGCTTTCCATGGTTGAGAATATTACTCCTTCGAATGCTACTATTTTCCCAGAATATATTATGCTCAATTTACGAAAATTTCCAACTGATAAAGAAGTACTTGTTAGAATGACTTATGCTCAATATATAGCTTCATTGGCAGAAACTGCTTTAAAGTTTCTTGAATTATCTCAGGTTAGCTATAGAATTTTCAAAAATTTATATAATAGACAATTATTAATATGATTTACATTTAATGTATTTTTAATCATAGCTTCTAAAAACCGAAGAAACTTCAAATTCGCTTGATAATGACGCAGATTTTGAAAATTCATATGAGGTATACAATATCATTTTAATTAAATTTATTGAAAGAATTTACGTATTCTAATTATTTAAATGTGTTTTAAGAAGACATCATATGACGCCTCTTTACATGAACTTCAATCAATTATTCAAGAACAAGTCACAACACTTCTTATCGATAATGAAAGTGCTGTTAAACGTGCCTTACTTTCAAATATTACGAGTCTATGTATTTTCTTTGGTCGACAAAAAGCTAACGATGTATTATTGAGTCATATGATCACATATTTAAATGATAGAGATTGGATGTTACGAAGGTGATTATTAATAAGATTTTAAAGTTGCAAATTTGCTATTAAAAGTTTAAATAATTTTTTTTAATTATATATTGTAATATCATTTTATTATTAAATAAATAAATAGTGCATTTTTTGAGAGTATTGTAGGTGTTGGAACCTTTATAGGAGGGTGTGGTTTAGAAGAATACATTCTGCCATTAATGATTCAATCATTGTCTGGTAAATTATATTTATATAAAACATATATATATAATTATTTTTTAAATTACGTTATTATATATACACATTAATGATTGTTTATTTGTTATGATAAAATGAAAAACAGACACTGAAGAATTTGTTGTAGAAAAAGTTCTTAATTCACTCACAAGTCTTGCTGAATTAAGATTATTTCAAAAAATGAAATTATGGGATTTGGTAGCAATTGTTGCACCTTTATTATGTCATCCTGGGATTTGGATTAGATATGGTAAAAACAAATTTTTAACATCATCATTCTTTGGTGGGAGCTTTTGATGTTTACTAATTTATTATCATTTAGGTGCTATTGGTTTTATTGCGTCTGTGGCTAAACTTTTACCACAAACTGATATTTGGTGCATAATATATCCAATAATAAGACAATTTTTACAGGCTGATATTGTTGAAATAACAGAAATGCATTTATTGGAAAATGTTAAAAAACCAGTTAGTATCTACCCATTCGTCCATCAATCCATGTATGTGTTAAATACATACTGACAAATTGATTTTATTTTATATTTATTTTGTCGCTTGTTATTATTAATGTTCTTTATATAGTTATCTCGTGCTGTTTTTGATTCAGCTGTGTCTTGGGTAGGCAAGGCAAACAAATCATCTTTTTGGAGAACAGCTAAAGAGCATAAATCCAATAAAACTGTGACAGCTACTTTATCTAGTAATGCAAGTATTACAAGCTTATTGTCCAGAAGAACTTCTACATTAACGGTGAACGCTGAAAAAGTTACTAAATCTGAAGAGTATTTATTTTATATTTTTTTAAAATGCAAATACAATAATAAAAATTAAATTATATAAAAGAGGTTTTTTTTTTTTATTTATCCACCTAAAAAAAAAGAAAACAATATTTATATTGAATTATCCTTACCGTCAATTAAACGAGAGCTTTCACCAATCTTGTCCCCATGACCATGATTTAGGATAATCTCAGAATTATCACCATAAAATCCCAAGAAAAATGCAATTTTATCAAATTCGTTATAAATTCTCTCAATCTTATCATCTGCATCTGTATTAAAAACATAATTATTTTGTGAACCATTGGTAGTTTGTGACTGACTATTATTATTATTATTATTGTTTGAATTTGAATTCATGTTGTTGGTAAAATGTCTTGGATGTGAATTTAGATCCGTGACAGAACCAATATATTGATGAAGAAAAGTGTAAAAATACTGTGGAAATGCTTTGCCACGCCTATACAATATTTATATAAATATAAATATATTCATATTTTTTTAATTGATCAACAATGAATATTATATGAAATTTATTTCGAAGATTAATCCCGACGCAGACTGATCTTAGAAAATTATCAAAAAAAAACATTTACCATTCTTGAAGGTATTGCTCGGCAGAATATCTTTGTGAAGGATCAACATTAATCATATGTTTTATAATTGCCTAAAAAAGATTATTATTTAGAAAAATGTTAAATAAACCTAAATACATATTATAATATATTATAAAATATATATAAAAAACTATATATATTTATATTTATATCACCTTAAAAAAAATTAGTTTTGAATCTAACATACTTTTATATCTGGATCCTCGATTTTTTCTATGTATATTCCTGGATCATATTCACCAGATCTATATTTAAATAATTGAGAAAGTGAAAAAATTGTTGTACCCTCCAAAAAGAGCTCCGCTATAACACATCTGTTATTGAAGGAAAAAAATAATATTAATCAATATGAAAAATACAAATTATATTTAAATGTTATTTATAAATAGAAATTTCACCCTAAAGAAAAAATATCCATAGCAGGAGTAAGTGCATCGTCTTTTTCCCCAAATTCAAGATCACTCTATATAAATATGCATATAAAGTGCATTTACGTATATATGAACTTTAAATTAATATAATTTTATAAATAAATTTACAAATAATCAAATAATTTTAATATCAAGGGACCTTTTTACGATCTATTTCACTGCCGGGTTTATAAAATCTTTCTGGAGCCAAATAACAAGTTCTTCTTGAAGAAGTATCAAAAAAAAAGGAAAAATCAGCTGGATTGTCCTAATTATAAAAAAGAAATTGAATAAATTTTAAAGTTTTTCTTAAATATAATTAATAATTATTCAATCGACAATTATTTTCAACCTCAGGAAGATATGTGGGTTTATACCCTGCAAAATCAACCAAATAAACCCAATTCCATGATGTGACCAAGATATTTTCTGTTTTTATATCACCATGATAAATCTTTTGAATTTAAAAATAAACAATTTTAGAAATAATAATAATAATAATAATAATAATAATAATAATAATAATAATAATAGTGAAATGATGGTATGGAAAAAATACATACTCCTTTTGTATGGGCATCATGTATGCCACATAATATTTGATATGTTATCCATTTCTTTTCAATTAAATTCAAAAACGGCCGAGTACTAAAAAAATAATTTCTAAATGCTTGTTTTTTTTTACAAAAAAACTTAATAGATTTATTGAAGAATGAAAAAATTCAGCACCTAATACGATCATAGAGACTGTTAAAAAAATGTTGTCTGATAAGATATCCAGCCTTTTCTGTCTCAATTATTCTTTGATAAGGGAATGCATTTGGAATCTCAGATAATGCTTCTCTCTCCTCTATTATTAAATCGATAAAATCATAAATATCTATCATCTATCTATCCATCTATCCATCCATCCATCCATTTATAAGAAAATCCTACCTTTAAGTGTTTTAACAACGTTTGACAAAGATAGGCTAGGTTCAGGTTTAATAAATATCTTGACTACAACGGGACCTTCTTTGTGGCGACCACAAATAGTTTTCATAAAACGAGCACTGCCCAAACTGTGGAGAAAAAGTTATTTCTAGATATTTGATTTGAAGATATATTAACAAATCAACAAATAAATATTAACCTTTTTTCATATTGAATGTCACCAAGTTCGCTAACATAACTGTCTATGCCAGCTGTTGCTATAGAAGTTGTTGTACTTGATATATTATTACCCATTAACTATAAAAGAAAATTAAAAGTAAATGCGAAATTGAAAAATCTAGCCAAATGTTTTTTAGTAGTTTCACAGGCGTGAGGTTAATAATAATAATAATAATAATAATAAAAATTATCAATTTTCGTGATTATATTATTTCATTGATCTTTAAATTGCATTAAATCTTTGTGTTTAATTTATTACTAGACTCAAAAACCGAATGTAATAATGTTATTATTTGAAACCTTCTATCGAAGCAAGTATATTGATTGGGACGAGATATTCAATTTTAAATTTTGTGCAAGTTAATTGATTATACAGTATAATATAATTTTACCAAAAAATTAACGACTTTTATATATTTCTTGTCTAAAAGTTATAAAAGTTATTCAGGTATTCATTCTAATACTTATAGATTATTTATTATCTTTATTATTATTATTATTATTTATTGATATCTGAAATTTCAATTTATATTTTTCAATTAACAAACACTTAGTCAGTGCTCCAAAGAATTTACATGTTAAAATTACACCTGTATTGTAGTAATGAAATTAAATGATTTTTCTCATTGTAGAACATGAAGGTGGTTGTTTGATCATAATAATAATATATTATTCAATTAAAAAAAGACAC